CGGATCCGACTTATGTCGGATCCGCAGTTACGAACGGGGCCGTTCCTCTCCCTGGTCTCCAGCAGACCAGGGAGAGGAAGCAAACCCGTCCCCCTGGTCTGCAGACCAGGGGGACGGGGGGGCAAAGCAGAGCCAAGCCGCGGAGCGCGTGGGCAGCGGACAGCCCTGTCCACTGCCCACGTGTTCCACCGCTTTGCTTCCTCTCCCTGGTCTGCTGGAGACCAGGGAGAGGAACAGCCCCGTTCGTAACTGCGGAGCCGACATAAGTCGGATCCGCGTAACTCGGGGACTGCCTGTACTTGGGACTAGGGATGTTAGCATAGGTCATTTAAAATGATTAACCAATAAGCCTGAGTTTATCGGTTAATCTAAATGACTATATGCACACATACACACTCTCCTTGCTGCTTCTATATCATCTGTGGGATGCTGGTGCAGCCTCTGTCCGCAGGGAGCTTGGACCCCCCCATTTTAATAATATATAACCGCTAAAAATTATTGCAGCTATACAATTACTAAAATAAACAATATCCAACATCCCGACTGGGGACCATTTTTTGCTCCAGAAAGTGAAGGTAGTAAACATTTTAAAACTTGAGGGACGGAGGAATTGGTTGTGAATTGGAAAGTGAAAAGCAATGTGGACTTCCTGATTCTAAGTAAAAGAAGTGAGAGCAGAAAACTAAGGACAATGGACTTCAAAAAAGTAGGCAAACTCAGCGAACTGATTGGTAAGGTCTCATGGGAAGAAAATGTAAGGGATAAAGGCATTCAGGAGAACTTATAGTTTCTCAATGAGTCAATATTAAAAGCAAACTACAAACTATTCTGATGCAGAGGAGATAGGAAAAATAGTGTAAAGGCCTATCCATATGAGTATCAGAAGCTCTTCAATTACCTGAAAAATCAAAAAAGTACAAAAGAACAGCACAAGTATGAAGGACAAAAATCAGAAAGATTAAGGCATTAAACAAATCACATACCACAGGGGATATAAAAGGCAATAAGAAGAGGTTCTTTAAATAAATTTGGAGTCAAATTTTTCTTTGCCTATTTTTCTAAGTCCTCTAATTAACTGGGAAAGACAGCTAATAACTGATGACATCAAGAAGGCTGTGTTTAACCTTGTTAGTGAAGACTGACGAAAAACAGGCATTGATGTTATACTCAACACAATAATATTAAGAAGGACGAAGGAAAGCAGAGTAAACTGCAGGTTAAATTTTTTATAAATAAATTAGAAGTATTCAAGTCCACAGGATCTTATGAAATTCGCCCCAGGCTACCTAAAGAACTAGCTGAAGCAATCTCAGACCTAGTAAGCAATTATTATCAAGAACTCAAGAGGTTTGGAAAAAGCAAAACATAGCACCTATCTTTAAAAAGGAGAACAAAGATGACCCAGGAAATGATATACCCATCAGCCTAACTTCGAAACATGGAAAAATACCAGAACAAATTATTAAGTAATCAGTTTATATGCACTTACAGGATAACAGAGTTATAAGAAATAACTACCATTGATTTGTCACAACCAAATCTTGTCAAACCAAAGAAGGAAATTAGGTTGACAGGGTTACGGGCTTAGTAGATGAGGGGAAGCTGTAGAAATGGTATCTCTTGATTTTAGTAAAAGCTTCTGAGACATTTCCACATGACATTTTCATAGGCTAACTAAGCGAATATGCTCTAGACGAAATTACTATGCAACACTGGAATGAGTAGTACACTAGTAGGTTAGTGCAAAACTACTACATAAAGAGTAGTTAACAAGAGTTTGCAGTCAAACTAAGAGGACATATTTAGTGAAGTCCCATAAAGGTCAGTCCTGCATCTGATACAAACATGAAGCGTTCATAAAGGCAGTCTCCGAGTTATGAACGCGATCTGTGCTTACCAACAACGCGGTTGCATGTAAATGAATGGAGTCCGACTTACGAACACTTCAAGTTATGACCAAGTGTTTGGTCCATAAGTCATTCATAAGTCGGGGACCAGCTGTATTCAATAGCCTCTATAATGACTTGAATAATGGCATGGAAGGAATGCTTACAAAATTTCCAATGACACAAAACTGAGAGGGGATGCAAGCACTTTGGAGGTCAGAATTAGAATTCAGAAGTGCCTTGAGTAATTAGAAAATTGGTCTGAGTCAACAGGATGAAATTCAATAAAGACAAGCACCAAGTACTTGGAAGGAAAATCGAATATACAACTACTATGCAAATCAAATGGGGAATACTTGGTTAGTTGACAGAACTACTAAAAAGGATCTGGGGGCTTCTAGTAGATCACAATTTGAATTTGAATCAACAATGTGATGCGACCTCAAAAAAAAGGGGGGGGGGGCCTATCATAATAGTATCAACAGGCACACCTAATATGAAACATGGGCAGTAATTGCCCACTTCAGTCTGCATTGGTGAGGTCTACGTTGAAGTACTCTGCAAATCCTGGGTACCATAATTAGGAAAGAAACAGAAAAAAATAATAAAAGGCTTAGAACTTATCTATGAGGAAATGTTTAAAAAATTAGTACATTTAGTCTTGAGAAAAGACCTCAGTCTTCAAACTGTTACAGACTGTTATTAAGAAGACTGTTCTTTACTGCTCTCCACATCCACCCAAAGTAAGATGGAAAGTGATGGGCTTAATCTGCATTAAGCAAAATTAGGTCAGATATTAGGAAAAAACTTCTGTTATGTGTGTTGTTATAGGCTTCCAAAGCAGGTTATAGAATCCCATTCCTGGAGATTTTTAATAACAGATTGGACAAACTGTCACAGATATCTAATTTTATTTGGTGGAGTTGATGACTTTTCCATGTCCCTTCCTGCTCTACATTTCTGTGATTCTATGATAATGCAGTATGTCTTTTTCCAGTATAAGTCCATAGTCTTGTATATTAGTCAATGCCGTTGTACTTGTGTATTTTGTCTTTTAATATATACTATTTTAACCATGCACTGAACAAATCGGCCTACCCATTAAGTATACCTGTTATTGCTCTATATTTTCAAATTCTGAATAGTTTTAGTACCAGCTACATAACATTATCTTTTTTTTAAAGTCCTCCATAACATCCTTCTTCATTTGTTTTATTGTACAAGCTTTAAAAAACCTACTTACTCACCACAACTTTCTGGTATGTGTGAATTCATCAGACCAAGTTCCCATGCCCGTTTTATAAGGGGAACAGGATACTGAAATGAAAAGGACAAGTATTTACGACCTCAGTTAATCTCCGCAAAACTGGAAAATGTTGAGTAGACACACCTATTTTCCTACAAAAATGTGGTAAACTTACCTCTCCAGATCTGTCATACTGTGCAGCAACAGGTATGATTTCCTCTCTAGCAAATTTACGAGCAGTAGCTTGAAACTCTTTCTGTTCATCACTGAGCTCTAGAAAAATAACACATTTTAGTCACAAATTCTACACTAAAATTAGTCTTGCTCCTTGTTAAAGTTAATGATCTGCTCCCACCAGAAGGGAGGGAAAAATACATCCTCATTTGTCTCCCACCTAAGACCATATACAGGACCAAAAAGGCTCAGCCATCTCCTACTTACGAGTATAAATCTCTACTTTTCACCCCACATGCACTTACTTATTGAGGATTTAGTGATCTGCAAAACACTGAAAATGCCAATACAGGCGTAATGCTTCACAAGAGAACCAGAATTGTGAGGTACCTTGTCATCACCCACCATTAGTGTGAGAAAATCCTCTCTGTGCCTGCTCTAGGTCAGGTCCCTGATTCCCTCAGCTTCTGGCAACACAAACACTGCCTTACAGTTCTCTGAAGGCTTTGTACTCTCTGTACATACTACGGATAGTCTCATGCAACCCCTGAGTCTGCTGCATATCCTTCTAGCGTGCCTAGCTCCTTATCCACTGAACATTCACAGAACTCCCAGATGCTCTGCTTTCAAAATGACTAATACACACTAGCTCACTACAGGTTGGACCACCCTAATCCGGCACCTTGGGGACCTGACCAGCCCCAAACAAGGGAGTTTGCCAGACCAGGGGAGGTCAATTTTGGCCCCTCTGCTGATGAATTCTGGAGCTCTCCTGAGGCCCATCAACAAACCCAGCCAGGCTCCTCTCCAAACTCTGTGCTACCTCCCTCCCCAGCTCCACTGCCAGCCTGGCCCCTAAGTCTGGCTCCCCTCCTGACTGCTGGGTTCTCTGCCCCAGGGCCACTGGGCCAGCCAGGCTGCACTGCCGGGTCCATTCCCAGCCGCTGGGTTCTATGTCCCCAGCAGGACTGCAATGTTGCCCAGCCATCAGGCTCCCTGATCCCAGTGGGGCTCTGATGCCAGGTTCAGCCCCAACTGACAGGCTCCATGCCCCCAGCAGGACTGTGGTGTCAGGTCCAGTCCCGGCCACTGGACTCAGTGCCCCTCGGGAGGATTCTGTTGCCCCATGGTGGGGCTGTGATGGTGGAGAAGGCCCCAGTCCTAGCTGTTGGGCTCTGCGCCTCCTGGCAGTGCTGCAATGCTGGGTTCAGCCCCAACTGTTGGGGCTGGCAGCAGAGCCTAACACCAGGCTCTCCAATCCTGTCCCAGCTGCCAGCCCCCCATCCCGTTCCTGGCTCCTGGCCCCTCAGCTCTCTGCTGCAGTTGCCAGACCAGAGAGAGTTGGTGAGTACTGGTCTTTTTGAAAGCAGAAACTGGGAGTTCTATGAATGTTCAGTGGATAAGGGGCTAGGCACACTAGAAGGATGTACAGCGGACTCAGGGGTTGGCGTGAGACTATCTGTAACAAGCATAAACTTACTGGATAGTTGACTAGGATGTGACTAGCCACTTCCCCATTCTTGCTGCTTCTATCAGAGAGAGGCAGCAAGGGGGGGCAGCAGGAACTAGGGATGTTAAAGACTAGTTGACTATCGGATAAACATTTGCTTATCGGATAGTCTTTTGACTATTCAACTAGTCAACACCCTCCGCCCCTTGCTGCCTCTATGAGATAGAAGGGGGAAGAGGTACTTCAGAGTGGGAGCACCACACAGCTGATACCATGGATCAGCTGTGAGGCGGCTGCCCCTTTGAAACTGCTGCCTCCGTGTGTTTCAAAGGGGCAGTGGAGCCCGGGGTCAGCGGAGGACTGTGAGTCTCCCACTGACCCCGGGCTCCATGGCTTTAAAATGCACATGAGCTGCATGCAGCCTGGAGTCAGCAGGACTTCTCACTTGCCCTGAGCTCTCCATGAAGTGTCTATCAACTAGTCGACGGAAATTCCATAACATCCTTAGCAGGAACTGGTACTAAGAGGAGCCGGCTCCCTCCAGCACCATCTCCGCAGGGGACAGGAAAGGTATAGGCACAGAAGGAAACCGCATGAGCAGGGACTGAAACAGTGTCTGCCTGTGCCAGTTCTGCTGCAATTCTGCCTTTGAAATGAGCCTGCTGGGGCTCTATCAACTAGTCGACGGAAATTCCATAACATCCTTAGCAGGAACTGGTACTAAGAGGAGCCGGCTCCCTCCAGCACCATCTCCGCAGGGGACAGGAAAGGTATAGGCACAGAAGGAAACCGCATGAGCAGGGACTGAAACAGTGTCTGCCTGTGCCAGTTCTGCTGCAATTCTGCCTTTGAAATGAGCCTGCTGGGGCTCTTGTACATTTCAAAGACTCAGGCACTGCAGGGAGCATGGGGCCAGTCCACTGCTGTCCTGGTGCTCCCTGCTGGGCTTCCGCTTTTGCCAGGCTCTTGCTACAGTTCAAAGGCAGAGGTGCCCTTATCAACTAATTGAATAGTTGATAGAAATCCCATCTGATTTGATTAGTTAATAAATCTAAATTTAACATCCCTAGTACAGCGCTCTTTATATTATTTTTATCACAAATATATGCATTGCAAAAATGATAAAAATAGTACAGTAAACTTCTGATAATCCGGCACCTTTAGGACCCAAAGGTGCCGGATTATCAAATATGCCGGACTAACAGAAGGGGGGGCTATGAGGGGTCTGGAGTGGGGTGGGAGGGGATGCCACCCCAGACCCCTCATAGCCCCCCCTTAC